ACACTTTTTTTCTAAAATAATTTTAATTTTTAGTTTTCCTTTTTAAAAACATTTACAATTACTAAAATAGCCAACTCATGTGCCAAAAAAATATTCAAATGTATGTAATATACATTATTTAACAAATGTTATTCTAACTTTATAGACACTGATTTTTTAAAGTATGACGCAAATGGCAATATTATTTGCAAAATATCAGTACATAATAACACGTTTCTAAAAAAAACACTTGGGCCGAATAAATTATTTCGTTAGCCGTAAACAATTTTGGTTAGCTATGCATGAAAATATTGTTAAAAATATTAAATATTCAATATTTTTCGAACAGAAAAAGTCGAAATGTTAGATATATAATTTAACCCATAAATTAAGATGAATAAGTTAGCCAACTATAAAATAATCGTGTCTCTACATTAATATAGTTAAAATTGGACCAACTATGTATTTTTTCTGTGTAAGAGGGTAGTACACAAATCAATATAATATAAATTATTTAACAAACGTTATTCAAATTTGTAGAAGCAAACTTTTTAAAATATGACGCAAATGGAGTATAGTATTGTATGCAGGATAACAGTACATGATATCATTATTTTAAAAAATATGGAAAGCTGAAATAACATTTCATTAGCAATAAACAATTTTGGTTATCGTTGCATGAAATAATTGTGGAATATTTTAAATATTTCTGATATTTTTTGAAAAAAATAAGTCGAAATGTTAGATATATAATTTAACCTATAAATTAAGGTGAATAAGTTACTTTCTACAAAAAACAATATTGGTCCAACTAAAATTATGGTTAATATGAGGGCACAATACATTTCTAGCTGGGCTGACTAATTAAAAATTTGATCCCACTTAAAGTACGCATATCATAGAGGCCCAATACATTTCTAGTTCAAAAAACGAATTAACAAGTTGTTCTAACAAAACATTGAATTGGGCAATCTAAAAATTAATCTTGTCTCTACATTAATATAGTTAAAATAGGATTAACTATATATTTTTTTCTGTAAGAAGGTAGTATACAAATCAATGATAAAGATATAAAAAATATATGTTTAAATCCTGAATACAAATAATACATTAAGGATAGGACACTTTTCTCTAAAATAATTCTAAATTTTAATTTTCCTTTTTAAAAACAATTACAGTTACTAAATATTTTAAACTTATATGTCAAAAAAATATTCAGTTGAATATAATATACATGATATAATATAACATTTAACAAATGTTATTCTAACTTTATAGACACTGATTTTTTAAAGTATGACGCAAATGGCAATATTATTTGCAAAATATCAGTACATAATAACACGTTTCTAAAAAAAACACTTGGGCCGAATAAATTATTTCGTTAGCAGTAAACAATTGTGGTTAGCTATGCATGCAAATATTGTTAAAAATATCAAATATTCAATATTTTTCGAACAGAAATAGTCGAAATGTTAGATATATAATTTAACCTATAAATTAAGGTGAATAAGTTACTTTCTACAAAAAACAATATTGGTCCAACTAAAATTATGGTTAATATGAGGGCACAATACATTTCTAGCTGGGCTGACTAATTAAAATGTGAGAGGGTAAGAGGGTAGTATACAAATCAATAGTAAAGATATATCAAATATGTGTTTTATGTTGAATTCAGATGACTCAAAAAGAATAAGACACTTCTTTTTCTAAAATAATTCTAATTTCATGTAAACATTTCGTTAACAATTAACAATTTAGGTTAGCGTTGCATGAAGTAATTGTCCAATATTTCAAATATTCTTGATATTTTTCGAAAAAAATGCTAACCAAAATTGTTTATTGCTAACGATATAGTTTATCAGCCTTACGTGTTTTTTTAGAAATACGAACGTTCTGTTATTTTCCAATAACATTGCCATTTGCGTCATACTTTATTAACACCGGTTTTATATAGTTTGAATAACATTTGTTAAGTAATGTATATTATATTCATTTGAATATTTATTTGACAAATATTCAAAAAATATACCCAAGTCATAATGTTAATTATATTATTTGACCTATAAATTAAGGTGTATAAGTTACTCTCAAAAATACGAAGTTGGTCCAACTACGGTAACTATAAGGGCATAATACATTTCTTTTTGAAAGAACTAAATAAAAATTTGTTCCAGCTAACATTTAATTGGGCCAACTAATTATTTATTTATTCCACCTAGAAATATATGTAACCCTATATTAAACATTGTTTAAGTCAGAGTTTAAACCAACTATACCCTTTTTCTGTGTACGGCGGTGGTATACAAATCAATGGTATAGATATTTCAAATAAATGTTTTATGACATATACAGATAGTTCATTAAGGATAAGACACATTTTTCCTAAAATAATTACTAGTAATAATTACTAGTAATAATTACTAATAATAACTATTAGTTTTCCTTTTTAAAAACATTTACAGCTGGCTATTTTTTTTATTTTTATTTAAATTTTAAGTGTGAGTTTTTTCCACTTTTACCCCCCTCCCCCCTCAAAGAACCAACTGTATGAAATTTATGATTTATAAAGTGGCTACACGAAGGAATTGGTCCAGTATTAAAAAAATTATAGTGTATACAGGCAAAAAAAAGGCCACATCATTGTAAAACCACATTGAAGCTAAAATATATTTTTAAGGGCTTCGTGCTCATTGCAATGCTTTTATTGATATTTGTATGATTTATATCGTACACAGGTTAGCGTTGAAATGTTTATTTTAAAGTGAACTTGTCACTTGTGCGGACACCGAACCTCACTTTAACGCGTTCCTTCTGTGCTGGTTTATACTTTGCTTGGTTTGGCGACTGTACTCGTTTAAACTTAGTACCCACTGATTTGCATCGAAGCGATTACTTAGAAACACATTCTATTGAGAATGTGCCTCTAGTGATCAACACTTAACGGACATAATTTTTGGTCAATTTTGTACTCCTGTACATGTAATGCTGTAATGCTTCAAGCAGCTTAGGTGTCCACTGCATCACGCCATGCCTCTTAAATAGAATATTACTCAACGTTTTTACTTGTGTCTTGACTGCCTGATCTCCATTGCATGATTATATAATGTTCTGTGGTTTATAATATTTTAATGTAAATTGCATAAGTATATGTATATGTATACTTTTCATATATAATATAGGTACAGGGTAATCCATTTAACATTTGTATCTCTTGCATAGGGTGGCCCACAATGTAACTACTTTTTACTTTTTCACTTGTTCTAGTGAATATTTTTTAAAAATAATTTATACTCATTTGCACTACAAGCACCACGGTTTTTATAGCGCAAATAATTACAAATTATTAAAAACAAAATAAATCTCTGAAATATTCCCTAGAACAAAATTTATTATTTCATTATTTATAGTTATTTCATTTGCCAAATCATTGTGGGCCATCCTGTAATATGTCTTAAGAAAAATTATAATTTTGTAGTTTTCCTTTTTTTTTTACAATTTTGAGGCTATTTTGCGATAGAGACATGCCTAATAAATGTTCTATAAAAATTGCGTTTCGATCCGACCGTTTTCCGCTAAGTTCTAATGGGTTTAAGGTCAAAGTCTAAAAACTGGCAAATTCTCGATTTTTGTTGGTTTTTGTGGGTGAAGGAGTTGATTTTTCTACTTCTAACTCGCCAAAGTACCAATCGCAAACCATTTCGGATGTATAGAGATGATACTCAAGTAAATCGGTCTAAAGAAAAAATATATGTGAGCCCTCTTTTTAGGTTTTAGTTTTATTTTCCATAGTTTTTCGTAAAAAAAAAAAGGTTAACAATAGATTTCTAAGAAAATTGGTCATTTGTGTTTTTGTCCAATTCTAGATCATTCTAGAAATGTTCTTAAGATGGAGTACTACCGTAAACGTTTACAATATATGCATATATTTTGCACATAAGTAAACAGTTTTAAAATGAGGTAAGTACGTAAAAAAAGAACATTAAGGGAGCGAGTGTATTATGAATGCCATACAACGCAAATAAAAACGTTCTTAAGTATCTGTTGTTTAAAAAAAATCGCACGGATCAACAGTTACAAACATGGTACTGTTTTCATTTCTCAAGTGTATTCCTTTATAGTAAGTACTGCGGTTGTTCGGAAATCCCCTGTTTGAATCACAGTCATCAAGCAGTAATACTATACTCCCATAACATTATAAAAACGTCATAGAAACTATTATCGAATACTTTAAAAACAGTTTTTACTTTTAAAATAAATAACTAAATATTCTAAATCCAAGTTTATTGTTCGAATATTTAAAATGTTTTCAAAAACCATGATACTGTTTTTTTTCGTGACAATGTCTTTTTTGCAATGTGTATGTGTTGGCCCTAATGCAGCACAACAAGTACTTATTATTTATGATTAATAAAAAAAAAACTTTAACTACTATGCAATTTATGTTATTGTGCTGAAAAAAATGTGGCTATTTGGGGATAGACACATGCCTTATAAATGTGCTATAAAAATTGCGCTTCGATCCGACCGTTTTTCACTAAGATCTAGTGAGTTAAAGTTCGAAATCTAAAAATCGGCAAATTTGTTTTCGACGATGTTAGCTTATGGGGGCGAAGAAGTCGATTTTTCTTCTTACGGTCCCCCAAAGTACCAATAATCGCAAACTATTTCGGATATATAGAGATGATACTCGAGTAAATCGATCCAAAAGGAAAAATATGTGACCCCACTTTTTAGGTATTAGGTTTATTTTTCACAGTTTTTCTTAAACAAAAGGTTAGCAACAGATTTTTAAGAAAATTGTTTGTTTTTGTTATTGACTATTGTCTCATTCTAGATTATTCTAAATATGTTCTTTAGATGTGGCACTATCCATAATCGTTGAAAATATATGCATATATTTTGCACATAACTAAACAGTTTTAAAATGTGGTAAGTACATAAAAAAATTACAGTTAGGGATTGCGTTTACTATAAATGCCATACAACCCAAATAACAACGTTCTTAAGTATCTGTTGCTTAAAGCAAATTGCACGGTTCAATAGTTAAATACTCTAAATCCAAGTTTATTGTTCGAATATTTAAAATGTTTTCAAAAACCATTATACTGTTTTTTTGCGTGGCATTGTATTTTTCGAAATGTCAAGGTTCTGGTCCTAGTCAAAATCAACTTGTAAGCATAACGAGTACTTATTAATTATTAATAATAAAATACCTAAGATTGTTGCTTAACAGTGTACAAAATGTTATATATAGTTTAGAAAAATACTTTAATGTTTAAACAACCTCCATTTTCGCACCGAAGAGTTTATTAAGTAATATTTTCACTTATAACCATATTTTGATAACAATAACAAAAAAACGTTAACTAATATGAAATTTATGTTATTATGCTGAACAAATTTGCAAGCCATATAATATGTCTGGTAGTTAGGCATATTTATTTTTTTAAAGAAGGATCAATTTAACTTGCAAATTGTAATATATAATTAAATGATTAATTTTTATTCTTATAACAATAGGAAACGATTTTAAGAATAGTTTATCAACATTTCCAGCCGAATGAACTGAACTACGAAAAGTTATCAAGTATATTTTACCAAGTAAAACATGAAACGAACGCAAATACTGGAGATCTTCCCAGCCTTGATGATTTTTTAACGCTAGTAGAAAGTAATAAATAATAGGATAATATTCAACAAATGTGACGAGTAAAATGTACAAATCTATTGAAAAGATATTTTAATAATCAAGTCTATCATTTGTAAAACTGTAAATTGTAGTCATAAATTATGAACTAATTAAATAATTGAAAAAAGATGTCACTTATTTTTAATAATGCACACAACAAATTTAGCAAAATATGAGATGCACGATCAGATTTTAAAAAAACCAACATAGTGGGATCGGGGCATAGTGAGTATGGGAAAGTCATAGGTTTGTAGAAATTATTTCAATTGAAATTGATAAAATCACTTTCGAATATTCGCATCGAAGTGTTTATTCGAAATATACGAATAAACGAATAAATCTTCGATGCGAATCAGTAGTATTTTCTAACCAGTAAAGTTCAAACCAAGCACAGTATAAACCGGCATAGTAAATAAGAATTAAAGCGAGGTGCAGTGTTTACAAATTAAAAGTGATTTTATGACTTTTATTGATAATAATTCCTGTAGATTCCATTATACCTCGACCCTACTGTACTAGTCCTCTCGGATTTAATCACTTTCAAATAAACTCTTTGATGCTATTTTTTAAACACTACACCTCACTTTAATTCTTTTTTACTATGCTGGTTTACACTGTGCTTGTCTTGGACTTTACTGGTTTGAAAATGTTAACTACCGGTTCGCATCGTAGCATTTATTCATAAATGATTTTATCAATTTCAGTTGAAATAATCCCTGTAACCTTTCCGTCCTCACTATACCTATAAAAACATAATGTTTTTGCAAAAACAACGTGGCCCAAATAACCCATAATCAATTTCTTGTTAAAATTAGTTTGAATGGTCAGTGATTTCAGCCGTTTGTACTCCATAATTTAAATTCTAATCGCTTATACTCAATAAAAATAATATTTATGTATTATATACTTCCATTACAACAATCTCACACTAACTCTTTATACTTCTGTTTTACTAGATTGACTATGTATAAAACAAAACGCATCTAAAAAAACCTTTACATAGATCCTTAAATTGTATATTATATATTTCTTGTAGTGTTCTAAAAAAAAATTGAGTCTCCAACATTGAAATTAAAAGTAAATCTTATACTGTGTAGGAAAAAACAATAAATTATGCTTACATATATTACTTATTAGTAAGAAAGAATTAAAGTGAGGTTCGGTGTTTAAAAATTAGCATCAAAGCGTTTATTTGAAAGTGATTTTAGCCTAGAGAACTAGAAGTTTTTTTAAAGCTTTTTCAAATTTCAACTGTGAAAAACTAAACTTTTTTTTATTTTACCTCCCCCCCCATGTGCCAACTAGATAAAATTTTTGATTTATTTGTATTCATTTGCAATTTTAACACAATATTACTCTCAATTCCTTTGTTGTTAAATTTGCTTAATGTGATTTTTAAAAAATGTGTTTAATATTTTTTTCTGTCAGACAGTTTATTTACGAGAGATGAAGTTGAAACCGCCGCCCGATATATTATACGTAAAAATAATGTAACGGTAAAAAAAACTAAAATTACTATATTACACTTTTAAGGTTGGTTAGTTGTTTTTTTTGTGGGGATATTTGAATGTACTCAAGCTTTCAATTATTCTATGTAAAATTGGTTTAATTTATTCTTGTAAGTATAACAAGTACATAATATTTATGATTATGAATATTCTGAGGTTTTTGCTGATATACGCAAAATGTGAATTATTGTTTTAGAAAATTAATCTTATGTTTTAACGTATCCATTAAAATGTTTTAACTGTAAATTTTAATACACAAATTAATGTCCATTCTTATTTTGATAACAATAGGAAGTGGCAAGAGGTATATTCAACCAACTTCAAGCTAATGGTACCGTAAACTTTGTGACATTTGCCAATATCATGCAATATGTAAAATTGGCAAAGGGTATTGCTACACCCGTTGATGTAACTGCCCAACTCAAAGCGGATATGTTAAGTAATACACAATAGAAAATATTTAATAAATATGTTGAGAAAAATGTTCAAAAACTATTGAAAAGACATTTTATTAATAAAGTCTATTATTCATTGCACAACTATGTATAATATAATTTTTTATAAAAAAATTAAATGTATTATGTTATTTTACATTATTATTCTTCAATTACGAATATTTGAAATAATAATAATCTTTTGCAAGTGGAAAACATAATTTTTCTCAATATATTTGTTGTTTAATTGGCCTGATTCGTTTAATTAAGAAATGTATAATACTTTGTACTTTCAGATTTCGAGTTTTCTCATTGGAAAGTATCTAAAATCATTGAGGTCATTGTTAATAATTTAAATTTTTGATTATATTATTAACTGTTATTAAATTAGGTAATACATGTATGTACTATGTAGTATGTCACATACAAAAATGTAGTCTTGATTGATTAATAAATAATTTTGCTCTTACATTTCGTTAGTACTTATTTTATTACTTCATAAAAACTCGTCTTCTAAAATAACAACTTTTTTTTAAGAAGATATGAAAAAAATAAAAAAAATTGTAAATGAATGCAAAATTTTTTTTGCATAATATACATATATGAAAATATACATGTTTATAAACAACAGTTTCAAATGACAAAAACAAGACGAGATATAGTTAAAACAAATCTTTTAATCTATCCGTACTTACTATCCTAAACAGCCTCTATATTTAACAAAAAGGGAAATCAATATATTTGTATAAATACTTTAAAATATGAGGTCATATTGTAAGACAGGGGAAACAAAATTCTAACCGTTTTTCAAAGGTAAGTTTTAACTCAAATAATTCAATACAACAATTAGTTTTGAGGTAACCAGTAAAAATGTAATTAAACTTACTTTGGAATTATCGAAAATTAATTTTTATACAACTCAATAGCACATAATTCTATTTCTAAGCCCGAAAATGATAAACAATATATTAGACCGTAATATTAGATTAGAATTTTCGTGCATTAATCAATAGTGTTACGGACCCACCCTTTTCAGGGCTAATAGATACATATATATATATATATATATATTACATTGTACAACTTATCAGGACTAACATATACTACATATATCTATATATTATATTATATAACTTCTCATTGTTAAATATTGCTAAATATGAACATAAGGGTGGGTCCGTAACAATAGTATTCACTAGAAAAATCTTTAGCAACTTATGGTTATATATAATAAAATAATAATTAAAACCCTTAATCATAAAAAATTATATACTCTCCGCGTATACAATAAATTATATATAAAACCTAAATAGTATCATTCTGAATAGATGTACATAAAAATCTCGTAATGATTTGATACATTTTTTTAAGATGTAAGGTGTATATGTTAAAATATACGAAATCTGCAAAAAGCACTGTTTTCCGGCAATTAAATAAAAACTGTAGTGCCGAATTTTTTCTTCGTTTAATATTTTATGGTTACATATGAGTTTTAACTACTGAGAAATTTTCAACTTAAAGATCTTTAAGTTACGGCTAAAAACGGAAGCCCCTGTACAACTCCTTGTTATTGGATGTTACAAAAAAATGGCGGTATCCCGCATCGGACAAGTTGCCAGCGTATTCAAAATTGGTCGGTATAGTAGGCTGAGCCTCAGCCTACTACACTGACCTATACAAATATACATATCTTTATAGGTCTATGCGAATATATATCTGTAGTTTCCCTTCCGGTTATTCCGTGTCGATATCAATGTTTTTTTTATCTCTAGAAAATCATGGAAAAACAAATCTATGTGGTGTTATCATTGTTAAAAAAAAAAACAATAATAGTCATCTTAGTGTTGCTTAGTTGCTACTCTCGAAAACCTCTCGATAGCTGCAGCTGCTTTTGTGTAGTAACTAGTGACTTGTTATTTGTTAAATTTTGATTTTGCCGTTGACGGTTTTTTTGTCGACAGTGTTTTGTCGTTTGATAGATTTTCTGCACGGTTATTATTAATTGGATACCGCTGTCGAAGATCAAATACGTTCCGCTCAAACGACCAAGACCACTTTTGTACTTTCGCACAATGTCCAGGAAGAGCAATTTGTTAGTGAAAAACACAAGCATGAGCCTTCACGACAGGTACATTGGAAACGTTTTGCCGTCTGCACTGCAAACCGAACGGCCAACACAATGTATGTACAATGTTTTTTTTTCTTTTAGATTCACACAAATACAGCAAAAAGCAAAAAGTGTCGGCGAAGAAGATCTTATCAGAAAAAGACATCGGCTATCGTTGAACATGGAACGCAGGCCCGAATTGCCGTCCACACTGTTCATGAACCAGGTATGATGACGCGTTTTCGGTTGTTTGACGTTTACTTACGTTTTAAATAAAATAAAACAACCGACATTTTTGTTCCCACAGGAATACCCGAGTAGAGAATGTCTGCGTGTGCCGCCGCCGATCCTTGCGAGAGCCGACGATTGTATGTTCAGTGGAATCATGCGCGACATAATGAGGCCGGTCGAAAGAGTGAACATACCCGTTCACGAACGACTGGCATTGAACAGAGTTCCCTTAGTCGAAGAAAGGTCTTCTAGAAGGTCTAGAAGAAGAAGTAAATTAAACATATTGAAATAATTTAATTAGTGTTTTCCCCTAGAGTGCCGTGAACGTGGGTTTAGGTAGGTAATAGAAATCTGCAATGTATCAATTGTTAGAAGCTTAGTGACGTCGTTAGCAATAATTTGTTTATATATTTGTTTAAAAAAATGTTGCTCTATAGACTATATATTTTCTACAATCATAATAATCGTAATGTAAATGGAGTGAGTGCAATTGAGTTTACTCAAATGCGTCAACTACAACAAACTATTGATATGGATGTAACTCGTACGGGATTAATATGAAATATTATTGTAGATAATAACTTGCAAGTTACTGTCAATGTCTGAAGTGAAGTGTTGTTTAAAAGAGTTTGTTTCTTAAAATATTTTATTTAGGTAATTTTTCTACAGATTTGTACAAATTTTATTTAAATTAGTGTTGTATCACACTTGTTTCTGTTTTGAAGATATATATACAAATATGGTTAGTTAAGTTATGCCAACTTTTTCATGCAGTTTGTTTGCTCAATTTGTTTTTAAGTGTTGCCTAAATAAACATTTTTGACAACACAGTTTTTTTACTTTTTGGTTTTAGTTTACCCTTATAATTAGGTTGTTCATTCCGTTCAGGCCAAGTATAACTGATTGTGTAAACTTACTATTAATTTTTTAATTTTTTATTTGCAACATGTGCAAGGCACACATCTCAAAAGATATTGGACTTTTAATAATATTATTCTTTTTTATACTTTCATAGTTAACAGTTGACCTAGTTTTGATTAATTTTTCAAAAATATAACATCCCATTACGTGTTAAATGTTTATGATGAGCTTAGGTTTTTTAAATGGTAACACATAGGTGTATTTTATGAACTTTTAAAAATTAAGAATAAATTGTTGAAAATGTCAACTGGTCTGTAATCACTAATCAGTTTTGGATAGTTACTTTGAAAGTTTAAAATGTATATATAATTTTTTTTCATAAAAGTTGTTGCTAGAAAAAACCCTATTTAAGCGTGTAAACACTTGAAATTTTAAGAAATATTGTGAATTTGTTTATTATAGGAGGTACCAAAGCAAAGTCAAGAGGATCTGTAAAAGCTTTAAAAAGTGATTCGAATCCGACCGAAATTAACAAACCAAAAAATAAAAACCGGACATCGAAACAAAGGTATGATTGTGTGATACTGACTTATTAATAATTAAAACATTTTATATTATGTTAATGTAAAAAAATTAATTAAAAAAAAATATTGTCATTCGTTTAAATATCTGTTGTTTTTTAACGTTATTTGTCTTCAGATTATTGTCGTAGTATTGGCCGAATTGAGTTTTTAAATAATTTTAACGTGGAAACATATAAAATTGTCAGACTTTTCTAATTCTTAGATTTGATGAACAGTAAATAAATCAAAAAATATGTATACTTATCATACATATAATATTTACATTGTGTATAGTTTTTTTGAATCTAAATTTTAAATAAAGCAGTCAACTTCTATATTTTAACGTTTAAATAGGATGTGTTTTTTATGCAAGTATAATTGTTGTCGTATGTAATTAAATTAATAGTGTCATTGTTTAAAATGTCCACAGAGATGCATTTCCAAGAAAAGAACATCCGGTTTCCAAAGAAGATTTAGACAAACAACTAGATCAATTTATGTCGCACACTAAACAAAAAAGGGACGAAGAACTGAGTAGAGTAATAAATAAGAAACAGAATAATATGTTGTAACAATATTGACTTTATTTTGAAGATACTATTTTTTTTTTGTTGTTTAGTTTTGAGTAAATCTCATACTTGTAATACAAAACTGCATGTTGTTTGTTATTCACGTGAAAATTATGTATTTGTAAACTTTATTTTTGAAAATTGTAATGACTCGTTAAGTTAAGGAAAACATTATTTTGTATTATAATTTCATCCGTATATAAATATTAGACATTAGATATTAAGAATGACATTTAAAAAGTATTTATGAAAACTCTCGATACTCGTCAACTTTATTGTTTTTTTTTCCTTTTTGTTTATCTTAATAAATAAGTTTACCCATAATAATTTGTAATAAATTTAAATAATGTCGACACTTATTATTGATGACCAAGTACATTACCGATTCGTTGTTCTTGATAATATATATATATAAAGAAGAATCTTTCGTTCATGTTAGAATGAATTCATCGAGTACTATTATTTAAATTATAATTATTGTTGTCTGTGTGTAGCTTGTAAAACTTCTAGAAAAAATTTAAACAAGCAGTTGAATTATATTAATAACAAATAATTTATTAAAACTACCATTCTGTTCTCATCCAAAGTGAAAATAATTTTAGTTGAATGTATACATTTTTTTTCTGCATTTATATAACCAATTGCAAATAACCTACCAAACAAAATCGGTGTTTCGGGTAAATATTTCTCAAGTTGGTCATCCAACTTTGGACATGCCAAATGTCCAATAAAAGAATAGTGTGATAACCTATTTTTTTTTTTTTATGTAAATAAACTGTGAAAATGTTATTCGAATAATTATGTAAATAAATAAAGTAACTATTTTTATGAAATGTTTTGAATCCTTTTTACAAAAATAATTAAAGCACTGTTTTGATGTGACTCAATTTTTTTTAAATAAACTACACGACTGATGGCAAGTAAAAAAAAAAAAATTAATATGAGCCTTAAAATTTAGATTGAAAATTAATAAATAATATTATTTTCACCTTAGACCTAGAATGCACAGGTATATCTGAATCAAGGTCTTCTACATCATAGATGCTAATGGTACCTATACAATGGCTTAATATACGAACACATTGACTGATCATGAATTACAAACGGTAGATATTTATTTTGGTTCGATACGTTTGTACGAAAAGCAAATCACCATAAACAGGTCTATGTGTTCTAAATTATATTTATTTTATTTTTATGTTTCCTAGAATTATTTTTTTTTTTTACTTTAAGTTCTGAAACTCTCCAATGCACTTCTACACGCCAAGGTGAGTCAAACAAGAGCCTAAACGTCAAAATCTGTTCACCTTTGTCGGATAGCTGCGAACAAAAAGAAAAATCCGGATTGGATCACAAGGAGGTCCACTTTGATTAGTCATAAGTCTTATTACAATATATTATTTATCTAATTTTACTTTAACAATGCGACATTCTAATGTTTTACGATTTATTAAATGAATAATAAATACTAAAAAAATATTAACATATGTTTTATACAGTGAACAAGGAAAATAAAAAGGTTTACAAAATTTAGCCCGCTAATTACATAAAAACCAGTCCTCCTCGGTTAAAATAATAATTGATCTGATGGGCCCAAGAGGCCCCGAAAAGGCCTTTCGGCCCCTTTAGCCCTGCTGTTCGCCACAGGCAGTTAAATATTATTATTTTATATATATTATCAATATCATTTAATTTTATATAATTTCCATACGAATGAATAGTTAAACATTAAAAACAAAAATGTATAAATTAATTTATTAAGACTTCTTTTTGCTTTGTTTCTTTACTTTTTGCCCGATAGTGGTCGGCTGGTTAACGGTAGTGTGTTCGTGTCTGTAAAAACATTATAAACATGCTGATGTAAAACAATATTCTGATTGTTACCAAAGTTTGCGTAAATTGATTTTATCATTAAAAGCTTGTCAATCAGTTTCTTACTCGATAACGGACATGGATTGAGATGCTCTTTCTATAACCGACTGTTGTAAACGAGTCATGCGTCTTTCGTTGGTCGGAACTTCTGGTTCGGGTGAATATCGAGTGGTCGATACCTTTTTTAAAAAAAAATTGCCATACGTTAAAATAAACAACGATGATGAACAATTTAAAAACAAAATTAATAAATTTAACTGACCTTGGATTTTGTGCTTTTGGGTACAGATTTTGCAGAAGTACTTGCGTCAGTATCGGAAGATATTCTTACTTCGGTCGTAACTTTTTTACTGCTCGTAGACTTTCTCGTTTGCTTACCGCCCGCTCTGATTGGCGACATAGTAGAAACAGAATCACTCACAGACGGGCTTCTTTTGTTTTTCACCATCGATTCATTTATATCGGATTCTGCAAAACTGACATTTCTGCTCATCGATCGAGTCATGATTTGCTTGGAGCTTGTAGATTCATCGGAACTCAACGGCAATTCATCGCTTTCAGACTCCAGTTCGGCTTCGAGCTTTCTGGACTTTTTTGCAGGTGTATACAACATCATGTGTCGAGGGGCGGCATCTCCGGTGATCGGTGACAGTTTTCCCAACAGTAACGATGATGCATCGCTCCGATCTGGGCTGGACTCGGATACGGGGTCCGGGATCTTGGGATGCGAATCGGCTGTTAACTTACGCTTCTTCTTCAGATTAGCCGACTCGGGCATTGATCGTTTTTTAGTTGTTTTTTTCGGGGACACCAGCGCTTTTTTCAACGCCGGTAAAAAGTCATCGTTTTTACTGGGACTCTTATCGTCCGACACTTTCAAGTTTACACTACTAGAACTTCTTTTCATTTTATTTTTCACCGCCGAAAACGTCAGAGCGGGGCCGGCGGGCTGCATCGATTTCGATCTTTTTGGCGGCGTTGTTTCATCTTGAATTTCTTGGTGGGTAGATTCGACAACGTTGGAATCGACAAGTTCTGAATGTTTTTTCAATTTTGTAGGACCGAAATTAAATTTAGACTTCTTGGGCCCTACACCGCGCTCCGGTTTGGCAACGGCGTTCTTCTCAGAATTGCACGATTCTTCTTCGGGTATTTGCTCTAAGCCGAACACAGTTTTCCTGCCGGGTTTCGGTTCTTCTACGGGCGTTAACGACTTGGAACGTACACTTCTGCGTTTTGGCTGCGCGAGGTTCTCATGACTTTTCGATTTGTTCTTCGACAATGAAACTCTCTTTTGTCGGCTACTGTCTTCGACCATTCCGGACGACCGGAAGGGATTAAACGAATTATTGTCTTCTAACTGAATTGTTTTCCGATCGGGTTTACCTTTAGATCTGGTCTTTATTACAAAATCGCTTTCTGCTTGTGTGTTGCTTTCATCGCCAACAGCTGCGTAGTCCATTTTTGACGTGCACGGCTGATGACCCATCAGACTTGTATCGCCTCCTGATCTTTTTTCAATTTCTTTGTCCAACGTATCATGTTGAACCAGACTATCAGATTTGCCTTTGGTACTTTTGGACGGCGTACCTTTTTTCAGAGCACTCGGTTTTTTGGTAACCTCATGTTCAACAACTGAAGGCTTTACTGGTGGTGGCGGGCTCTCTGTCGTGGATTCTGTATGTTCAAGGCGATGCACGATTGAACTATTGGTCGGTTTATCTTCGCTCGTAACACGTATGCTACGTCTGGTATTTTTTGCCACTATTCCATCGCTAGATGGTTGTACATCTGTTTTTTTGGTCGACGTCTTAACCAATGTAGGTTGTTGTGTAACGTCATCATCACTTGTAACACTTGAAGCAGGGGCACCTTTTAAACCGACGATGGTTTGTGAATGGGTTTTGTCATCAGGTTTAGTTGTAGATTCATGAAACGTCACTGATCTGGCACGCTTCGAGCGAGGTGTAATAGTGATTCTTGTTGTCTTGTCTTCACTTGCAGCACGGACACTTCGTCGAGGTTTTCTCAAAGGCAGCGTTGTGTCATCAGATGGTTCTGTACCCGATGATGTTTTGATCAGAGTGTCGATCAATGACTTTTGTGCAATATTTTCTGTCACACCTATTTCAGCTTCTTCTGTTATTATATTTTGACATACATCAACATGAGTAAGTGGTTTGTTTTCATCGGTTTGTGAACTCGTTTCAGGAATAGGCTCGATTGCAGGTGGACAAACAACAGCTATGGATTTAGCGCGTTTCGAACGCGGTGTCGTTGCAATTTTCATTGCCTTGTCTTCACTCCCACCACGTATACTTCGTCTAGTTTTTTTCAAAGGTGTTACTTCATCGGACGGTTGTGGATCTGATGTTTTGGTCGGAGTCGTAACTGGAGCAACAGTTTCAGTTTCTTCAGCAATTACATTTTGATGCAAGGCACTTTGAGAAGGTGCACCTTCTGAAACAAAAGTGGTCGGTGAGCTGATTTCAGGTTGAGATTCCAAAATTGAACGATTTGCAGGTGGGAAAACGGTAACAGATTTAGCGCGTTTCGAACGAGGTGTCGTTGTAATTTTCATCGTCTTGTCTTCACTGGCAGCACGTATACTCCGTCTAGTTTTCTTCAAAGGCGTTACTTCATCGGACGGTTGTGGATCTGATGTTTTGGTCGCAGTCGTAACTGGAACAACAATTTCAGTTTCTTCAGCACTTTGCGAAGGTACACCTTCCAAAACAAAAGTGGTCGGTGAACTAATTTCAGGATGAGATTCCAAAATTGATTGATTTGCCGGCGGGAAAACGGTAACAGACTTAGCGCGTTTCGAACGGGGTGTCGTTGTAATTTTCATCGTCTTGTCTTCACTGGCGGCACGTATACTCCGTCTAGTTTTCTTCAAAGGTGTTACTTCATCAGAAGGTTGTGGATCTGATGTTTTGGTCGGAGTCTTAACCAACGAGTGTTGGACAATATTGTCAGTTGCAGCGATTTCTTCGGTAATTATATTTTCACATACAAGACTCTGGGAAGGTGTCTTTGAACCGCTTTCGGCAATAGTTTCAATTTTTGAACGATTTGCCATCGAGAAAACTGTTACAGATTTAGCACGTTTTGATCGAGGCGTAACAACAGTGTTTCTCATCGTTTTATCTTCACTCGCAGCACGTACGCTTCGCCTGGTTTTTTTCACAGCTATAACCTCAATGGATGCCGACGATGAACATGATTTTATAGTACTACGATCGTCAACTGAAGAAATTAGACTATAAGTATCGACGTCTATGGTTAAGGTTTTGTTGTTATCATTTTGCATTTGAACAGCAACGTTCAGACTGTCGCACTTGTCGAGCAACACATATGGTTGATTAATATTGCCATAAACAATATTCTGTTTATCAACGACAAACGTTTCACTCGATTCTATACCGCGTGTACATTCAGATTGAGGTTGTAAACTAGGATATTCCAATGTGGGTACATTCTCAATTATAGGATCTAAACTTTCTGGCTGCAAGCTAGTTGATCTCGAACGTAGACTGTGCGTTTCCATATGGTCGTCTGGATTGCTGTCTGGTAAAGATTCAAGTTCAAGAATATCTTTCATATCTTCGACAACTTCTGTTTCTTCGCATTCCATATTCGGGTTTATTTCTGTATTGCTGTTTTGAAGCAACGTATAGGCTTTTGTTTCACTTTCACTAGTACTTACTGCGGGTGTCTCATTTTGCAACGAATATACCTGACCGAAAAGAAGCACAGGTTTGTTGTCGGACGTGTCTTGTTGACCGAATAAAAATGTATTTGGCTCATTAACGTCAATATCGGCAGGTTGGGAAAGATCTATTTCACTTTGTATGTTAATCAGATCATTATTATCGACTTCAACCGTACTAAGATCAATTTCGTTTTCTGATGGATTTGCGACGTCGCATTGCTCGACTAAATTATCTTGTTGATATTCATAGTCGTTGTTGTCGTCATTGTGGTGTTCAAAATTTGATTCATCATTAGCAACACTGATAGGGTTTGATTCACTATGTATGCTTTCACATTCGATTATGCTAGAGTCGTTGGATTTATCTTCTTGATTTTTAGAGGTACTATCTAGATTTCCTTGTGAAACGTGTGTATTGTTCGATTCGTCCGTGTTCTTTTCAAAAGAATCTGATCTCGTGTCTACAGACTCAACACTTTCCTCCTCCTCCTCCTCCTCTTCAACTTCAGGGGGATAATTAAATCTCTCTTCGTCAGATTCTAAGCTATACGGTTTTTCATTGGATTGATTCCTTTCGATCGCTACTATGTCATCGTCTTCTTCTTCTTCTTCCTCTTCAGCTTCAATTTCTATCTCGATTTCTTCTTCTGCTTCAATTTCTATCTCGTTTTCTTCTTCTCCTCTAGAGTAAATATCTACTTCTTCGATGTCAGAATCTTCATATTTTTCTTTCTCGTCAAACGGTTTGTTAATTGTACTGCCCTGAGATTTAAATCTACCATATCTGGTCTTTTCTAACTCGCTTTCATCATCAGTGACACTAGTTTCGTCCAATGATTGTTCACTGGATGAAGTAGATGAGTTAACATCAACGTCATCTTCATCTTCCGTGTCCAAATAAACCACGTCATCGTCGTTGTATGTGTTTTTACTTTCCGGTTCTGTATGGTACGGCTTTTGTTCAAACGACGACACATTCAAACTTTTTTGCTCTTGCGCTACGTCATTATTAGGTGGAACCGTTACAAGTTTGTAGACATTGTCATCAAAGTTATCCGACTGAACAAGTTCGGTTGCAAACTGATTTGATTCCGCGCACAGGCTTAATTCTTCACGCCGATTCGATAAGCTGTACGCTTGACCAATAGATATCTCCATTAAAGGCGTATCAACACCAGTAGAATGCACGTCTGATTTTACATATGGTTTGTTTAACTCAGAATCGAATAGCACATTTTGATTATAAGACTTTCCTAAGGCCTCATCATTGTAAGCTTCATCAAGTTGTTGTTCTTCTTCCTCCTCAGAAAGGTCTACTAATTCGATTACATTGGGTTTTGACAGAATCGGAATTTCTGTTGTATTCAATGTATAATCAACATTAGATTGTTGCTCCGCGTGAATGGAGTAATTTTCAGTAACATCCATTTGTTCATGATCGACATCATTAGCTTCTTCTAATGATGGAATGGTTTGGTCAACTTCATACGCATAACCGTCGTTCGTTTGCGTAATATTGTTAGTTTCCATTTGCTGCTCATCGATAACATTACGACTAGTCTCGTTACTGCTGGCGGCACTATAGAAACTCTCATTTTCTGGATTATCGTCTTTCATTAGGTCCACACATTCTACAGTAGAACGCCTGTAATAAATGAGTTAAGAATTATGTTATTTTAATATAGTGTAATTGTTTTTAAATCAATTTTTCCATAGAAGGTTCTAGAGTTGGAGTTAATATAAATCGAACATCATACTACATGGACGATTCTATATAAAACGCTAGAACAAACTATACATAAAAATAAAATGTTTAAAATAAAATACATACCGTTGTTCCTTGCCGGAGTCATTTTCGTTGGGAAGACTAAATCTCAAAGTCATTTTTGATATAGGCGTTTCACTTCCTACAATAGACAAAACACGTTTGTGTTTTTTTGAAGATCCTCCAGTCTGGAAAAAAATTAAAACTTATGTTTATCATACTTGTAAAAAAAAGTTAACTTATGTACGACGACAAAAACTGATTGGCCTAAGTGGAATCAAAATTGTCAACCAAACAAATTCTTGAAAAATGTAATAAAACTCAAATTTTTTTTCCCCATGATTTAAAATTTAAATTAATTATAAATATTTTCTTATCACTTTTTTTTTTAATTTGGTTCAATTACATATTAAAATTCTTAAACAAAGAACAGCCTGACAACTGTCGTTCATTTGTATCAAATAAATACTTAATTAAAGACAGTCGTACAATTTTTTAATGACAATTAAATTAACCTTTTAAATTTACTTTTCACTCTTATTAAGTTAAGTTATTGTAGACACTTTAAATAATATTATAAAGAGCTTATGGTCATTCTTGTTCGTTTGACAAAACAAATTTAAGTATAATTTCAGTTTCGTTAATCTAGGTACACTTAATTTTTAAACCTTTCAGGATGGCCAAAGTATGATAACAGCTATTAGTGATTTATATCTTATCGTCAATTTAACTAAATAAAATCAAATACCTTGAGGATCGACGAATAGCCCAACACAGGAGGCGACGCTACCGTTTTACTGACTAGCGGAGTATTCAGTATTTCCAAAACTTGTTTACCGATTGCACGTACATCAGTAGTTTTAACATTTGGTGGACTCAACAAGCAATCTTCAATTTTTCTACGTTTTTCGTTGATTATCTCGGTGCTATCGGCAATTGGCGATCTCTTACGTGCAATTTTCGCAGACTGTAAGCTGCCCGTAATTCTAAAATTTAAATAAATTATTTATTTTGTAACAGGTAAAAAAAAAAAACAAAACCGTTAATTCTTACTTGGGTTTGGATAAAGTGCGAGGAGAATTTAGTTTGATAGTATTTTCTTTAATTTTATCCATAATATTAAACGATTTAGTGTCGCAGTTGACACGTTTTAAAACTATATCTAGAATATTATAATCTAAATTAATACTTTGATCACTTCGGTAGACATTAAAATTAAACCAAAACCAATTAATTTTAAATACACTAACCAGTCTTTTTGTACACATTTTGTGCAGTAAACCCATCGAGACATCTACTCGTGATTTTCGGTACACTATTATAGAATCCCCGGACCAATAAACTAGTAATTGTCAAGTCATCGTCATATTTGCATTTATTAACCGTTTCTAAAGACTTATTCAATTCAATAGCTTCCGAATACCTGAAACACAATTTATACAACAAATTGGTATTGAAGGGCTCACCAAAAATCCTAATTTAGTTTTAGAAATTACCTTCCTCTTTGTAATAAAAAGAATATTTTTATTGACAACGTTTCAGGATCTTTTAAAGTTTTCAAGTAAGTATAAAATAAGTCTTCTTCGTCCGAATCCCACGGATGTTCTAATAAGCATCTTAATTTGTTAATTTCCTTACATCCTAAAAAAAAATCGAGTGGATTACATTAAAATAAATAATAATTAGTTTATTCGATATTAATAATGTAATTTTACTGACTGTCGAAAAAGTATCTAAATAAAATTGGTTTTTCTTCAACCGATCGTGTCCTAATGTAATGTAATGCTTCGAAACACTGGTTGTTCATAATTTGAAGATTTATATAAAACCTAATTATTTTGTAATAATAATCAATACAGTGATCAAATATAATGAATACAATACTCATTTAATATATATAAATTATGTTATTTACTTATGGTCGTCGATATTGGTTATGCTGATATTGATGAGCTTCATATAGAATCTAGCCCAAAAATATTCTTTTTTGAAAACTAGCAATTTCATAACGGTCCAATGAAACCAATCCCATGACTCATCTTTAGTTATTGCCCAATCTTTATCGCCTGATAATATTTCCATCGCTTCCTGTAATAGATAAAACAACAAAAAATTTAGAAGTGTAATTTTTTTTTTTTAGGAAAAAATTCTGTAATATTACAATAGTATGAATTTACCTCGAACATGTCGTGATCTAAAAGCCAGCTGGCGCGACAAAGCGTGTTCAATATTTTGTTTTCGACATCAAATTCAATTGCATAATTACACATACGATTTGCGATGGTCACATTAAGACTAAAAGTAAAAAAATGAAAACTATCAATAAATAATAAGCTTTGACAACTGTACTGCTTATTTAAAAAGAAGTATTTTCCCCTATATTATACTACTTAGTCAGTGTTTGGAGAAATGTTGAGAAAAACAAGTTTAGTTTTTTATTTTACGAACATAAACGATTAACGTTAATTTGTTTGTCGTTCTTTCTCACAAAGAGAAACAAACTGTAATTTTGCAAAGTGATTTTTTAAAAAATATACTTTCTACAGTTTGGATTTTATGTTTTAAAATGTCAAAATAATTGGGAATTTACATTTTTCCATAAAGTTTTTTTGTTTAAAAGGACCTAAAATAATATAGATAATTTTTTTATCAATTAAATATAACGATTGCGAATTAAAAAGAGAAACGTTCAATAGAATCGTTGTGCTTACTCTTGGGTGGAACAAACGTCGATTAAAAAATAAACAGTGATATAATTTTTCACTTGGTCTGTGAGAGCGGCATTTAAATAAATTCTCAGTAAACATTGAACATTGGCTGGCGGATACATTCCCTTTGTCGCTTCACCGCCCTCGTGTTGCCACTGTTCAATCAGCTTGAATCCTTTGTGTTCGTGGTTTACTACGGCGTCTATTAAATACAACTGAGAATTTCCAAGTTCCATTCGCCTTTGAAATTTTACAATTAATTAACAATTTGGTTAAATGATATACGTACACAAATTTTCACTTTCTCACCTTTTATTTGCGTATTCTATTAATGATGTAAAATCACATTGTACAGTCTGTTGGTCTGGAATTTTGTCAAGGGATTCCGGAAGAAGACCGTAATTGAGGAAACACGTCACCGCTTTGAAGTACTGAGTGACTAGGTTTAAAGTATAGACGCGGTGTGAATAGTCGACTACAACACAAAATTTCGGGTTAAAATATTATCGTGGGCAAAGACAAAAAGAAATAGAGAGCTAGTAACAAATTAACTAATTCAGTTATGTCTTTCAATATTTACCGTGAACGCCATATTTATTATGTAGATCTTCCAAAAAATGTTTAACACATTGCATTTGGGACAAACAGTGGTTAAGTATACGTTTATTTTTTTTATCCAAGTGAGTTCCAGAATAGTCAAACAGTGGAACACCTAAAAAAAATGGAATAACATTAAAAACAATCAGTTAATTTCAAAAAACCATAACTCGCGATTCAAATTTAGATGGATGATAACATAAAAAATAGTAATTTTAGATTTTACACAACCACTCACATATTTAACAAAAAATGTTATTTTTTTTTGAACAAACACCGAAATAAATTGTAATTTAAGCGAATTTAAATAAATAAAAAATTATTTAAATACTTATTAAAATTATTTTATAATTAAATGAAATAAATTTATACTGATAATATTAATTTCTTAATAAATAAAAATATATTTAAAATTACTGTCTAATTGTTGGAAAATCATTTTTTGTTATTTAAATAAAGTATAAATTGTGCACATTATTATGCAAGATGGTACATGTATTTAATATATTAAGTACATTTTATTATTTTATTTTAATCAACAGACTACTTACATAATTTATCAGCAAACTGTTTAACAACCATAACATGTTTCCAAAGACATTGCACTAAATGTAAGATAGTAGCTTCACTTGACACGTAAGTTCCATTTTTCCATTCCTCGGCACAAGCGCTCAACACAGACATCATTTTATTTTCCACTAATATGGACACTACAAAACTTCTTTGATCCGGCTAATGTTTGCAAAAAAAAAAAAAAGTTTATTTTGAATACTTTATCAGAAACAATCCAATCCCGAAAATGGTTGGTATTATTTAGTAATAACATTTTGGAAAATCATAAATAACAAATACAATATAATAAAAAAAATAGGGCGTTCTTCTAAACTTTTCAAGATTCTTACCAAACTGTAATTAATATAGTCATCAGATTTATCCCAAAAAAAAGGTCTGAGGTTTGCTTGCAAACATTGATTAAACACTAAATTTGGATTGATCAACATTTTCCAGTTTTTTTCAACCAATTGGTCCAAAATTTCTTGTTGCACTCCAGCATGTTTTAATCGAACGAGCTCAGTATCCATTAAGCAATCACACTCTGCACAAAAACGATTATAAAAAATTATTATTATTTTTTGTTATTAAAGCTGGTAATTACCAAAGTAAATTGAAGACGGATAGTATAACTCTTCAACGTTGTTCCTAAAATTGCTACCGAATGGTCGTAATGTTTTATGAGAAATATTAAAATCCACGTAGTTGACGTTATGCGGCAATGGTACAAATCTTGCATACGAGTTAGAAACTTTAAAATGACTGATGGATGACGGCATTTGTGCTTTATACCACTGATTGATATCGAATAAAAACATAAACGATTCTGGATGAGCATCGGAACTTTGTCGAATTTCCATCAACATTGCAAAAAGTCTTATTTCACAGTCTTCGTCCATATCTAAAAAATAAAAACGAATATATCTTATAATTTTAAATAACTATATCAAACTCAAATTATACGACAATTTCTACTGTAAACATACTTGAATAGTTATTAGAAATGTATTATCAATTATTGTGTAAAACAAATTCAAACAAATTTTTTGGTGATAAAATATAAGGTAGATCTTTAGAAAATCGTTTAGGTCTAATCATAAAATAAAAGAAATTTGGAGAACTGCAATAGGAGGCAATGTGGGGAAAAAAAAAGAATACAAAAATACAACTTAAAAATCATTTTTTAAGTACTTTCAGAATAACCGAAATAATTAAAATTTTTTTTTAAAAAGTTTAACAACAAGCTATTGTTTTCTTCAAATACAAATTTTTAAATGAATTTGTTATGAAAGAATATTTTTTTAATTACCTGTTTCGTTTTTGGCCATATTTACATTACATACAGATAAAGCGGATATACACCGGCCAAATCCCGTTTCTCTTTTTAATGACATTTCCAATTTTACACCGTTACCTTGATAAACCTAAAAATATACATGTCCAAATATGTGTTATAACTAATAATATAATTAATAATAAAAAAAAAACATACACCGTTTTGTTTATTTCATTGTTTAACTTACGCGATATGCTAAGCTTCCGTTGGGCATTACAATACGTTGTTCATAGGTTAAGGCAATCATTGTGGCGTGCGGAAGTCTAAGATTATCCGACTGAATTACCCAAAGGTAGCACAAGTTGTTTGGGTCGTCAGACGGTTCGAGAAAGCCGATGTGAGTTACAGGCACAATGCACTTTGGCTCTTTCAAAAGATATCTGATAAATTCAAACAGTTAGTTAGTACCTACTAATACTTTAGATGAGTACACAATAAAAAAGTTTGTTATACGTACATGGTACGCATACTTTTACAATCGCGCAGCTGGAAATGACCAGTGGAATAACCGATCGCAACAGTATTGATTTCTTCAATGTATAATATGCTGGAAACGCTTATATGCAGTTTTCCACTGTACTGTTTTTTGCAATAGGCATAGAAATTTTCTATAAAAAAAATGCACACGTTTATAATCAAAATAATCAATGACGATAGGCACAAACTTGTTTCAGAACATTTGAGTTCAATTTCAAACATACCGTTAATGAACATCGCTAAATGGCAATCGCTATCGTCACTCATCTCTTTGACTTCTTGACAATCTTCATTCTTTCCAATTTTAAACAATTTACTAGGTCTTGATTCGTTAACAACAATTTCGTTATTTTTTAATTCTAAAATAAAAAAAAATTAGTTATTTTATTAACGTTTATGACGGAATATTTCCCAGTACAAAACGTCTTACGATGTTCTATATGACTGTGTCGTAGATCGATCGCATAAACTTCTCCTGTAGCCATACCAACCAGAAGTACAGTAGACATGATTTTAAACTCATCACAAAGTTGGTTGTCGTCAATTAATTCATTTTTAATAGTTGTTATATACGACACCTGCGCAAGTAAAATAATAAACAAGCTTATATATAAAAAAAAAAATAATAACTAAAATAAAGTATATAGCATACCGGGTTCGGTAGCTCGATACAGCGAACTGTAGTCAACGTTGGTAACTGACACACATAGAGGAGTCCTGAAGTTTTAAACGAACATCCCACCAATAGGAAATGTAATTTCCCTTTGCCATAACTTAATTCTTTTACATAAGTAATCTAGAAAATAAAGGATTTATCAAATCATCTCGATTGCTTTGCATTGTAGTACAGAGAAAAACCTAGGTACCTACCGTTAATGATTTATCTTTAAGGTTATCTCCAAATAGCCTGGACGATACGATCGATCCAAGTTGTTTCGAATATAAAACAATGTTTGTCTCAGAAGCAAACCATGCATAGAGCCCATCGGCAATTAAACCGCCCAGTCTTTCACAATCTGTTTCGTACAACTGGGTAGGCAACTGGTGCGAATCGATTACTTGCATAACTTGATTCAATGAAGACATGGCGGATTCGGCTGAAAAGTAAATAAAATATTTCATTTTGATATCAAAACCTTCGCAATGTACAATCCGTTTTACTATTACTAATAGTGCACACTCGCATTATGACCGCGAGAATCTATAATTCAAAATAATAAAAATCAATAGACTTACCTTAAAAATTGTATGACATATTCCAACGGAAAACATAAACCGATATCCAAATTTCAAGTGTTACGCAGAAGATCAATAAATTTACGCTTTAATAACTCGCCGAAAAAAAAACCGTAGTGTTTATTTAACGTGAAACGACCGTCGTTATTTATTTGTTCATTTTCGACATTATCAGAAAACGGTAAAATTCCAACATGAAAACATAACCTCAAAAATGATCAGATTGACGACAGTTGTGATTTACATGCGATAACAGGTGGAGTTGAATTTCTGCAGCTGCAGTGTGTGCACTGTATCGCGTTATCTATGATAAGGTATGCGTACCGGCAACAGTTGCTTGTGATAACCGCAAAATGGCATACGAAGATTGATATGGAGATGTTTTGAAGGTTATAATATATTGCCAAATTATAATAATATTTAATACAATTACAGTAATTATTATTTGTCAATTATCGGTGAAGTATCAGAGCTATACCAGCTACTCGTAGGTAGGTGTACACAAAACGTTTTGTATGTAACACCAACAGAACAATAACACCAAGTTAAACATTTTGTACCTGTCTGTTCATCCAAATACCTAGAGCATAGTGGCCCAATCCGACCCTGCAATAAACTATCCTCAAACCGTTAATGTTGAATAATTTTTTACCATAGTTTTAATTAAAATACTTGATGCATATACAGGTATCCATGTGTAATAGAATATCACGAAATTCTGAAGTTTTGTTATTTCTAAAAATATTATTTTTCTTTATGACACCAGCAATTTACAACTGAACCTATCAATTTTAGCCATCGAATACAACTATTTAGTCTGTATTTTTTAATATTGGCTTAAAAAAAAGTATCTACCTACTTAGGTAAATATTGAAAAATTACAATAACTTTGACATAACCACTACCTAAATGTATTTCATAGAGTGCAGTGTGAAAACAAAATGTACACGCAGTAATTGGGAATTTAAAAATCCGGATTTTCACAAAAAACGCTATTTTAGCTATTTTTTTTTTATTAAATAAACCATTACGGTTCAACAATTAAATATAGTTCAATACGATTAAACTAAATACTTCAACATACATGATTTACACATAATAAATTAATACAATTCTTAATTAAATGACAAGGCCAGCGTCTATGATGCATATAATGATGGGGACGGAACGGGAATTAATGGATATTTGAAGGGGTTGAGAATAATTATTATAATTTTGTCAATCGTCATAGTAATAATTTGTATTGAAACAAGGCTTCGGTGGACGGTAATATACAAATCACCCAACACATAACTAATTTATTAAAAAACTATTTCATTCGAAAAAAACGTTTTAATTAAATTAACATTTCCACGGATGTTTATACAATTGTAATATTGTTTTTGACAAGAAATCAAATATTAATCTTACAAATCTTTTTTTTATTTATTAAAAGCCTTTTAATATCCCACACAGTCTCTGTGTTGGATGTTTACCACAAGACACAATCGTCAATTATTTTGTTCCACCCAAGTAATAAATGAAAATAATTTCTTATTGAACACTTCTAAGACGAAGCACTTGAATTACTCGAGGAACTGATAACGTTTTATGTTAAGAACTTGAGTTCATAAAAACCCTTTGTGCTGTCAAAGAACAAAATAAAAGTAAACGTTAGTTTCTTTTAGATCGTACCCCTAGGTATAGCGATTTTACTCTGAAGTCAAGACAATATGTAGAATGGATGTTTTAGAATTCTCTTTTATTGAAAAAAAAAAAAAAGAAATTGTTCTTGTATATTTTGTTAAAAAATGTACGAATAAAGCTATTAACGTATATTAAAATCTTTTTATTAGTCGCGAGTAACATATAGAAATATACATATATATATATTTTTTTTATAAAATCAAACATGACTTGAAATGTTAGCATTAACTAATAATTTTTTTTTTTTTAATTAAAATTGACTTATTGGGTATTAATTCAATTTTAAATTTCAAGTTTACTAGCAATCATATTCAATTTGGAGCAGATCATTGATATGGCGTTTATTGGTACTTTATACCTAATGTGTTATTCCTAATGAGGTAAGTATTGTCTAACAAGTGTATCTTTTGGAAACCCGAAGTGGCCGCCTCCTCGTAGCGAAAGATGGGTACTGAGGCACTGGGTGCCGGCTCTCTGAGTCACCTTAGACCTTTAGGTCTCTGGTGGGTCGCAACCGTTCCTGGTCCTCAGGCTAAGAGTCGCTAGGTCAAAATCCTGCTCGACTGTTTAGCTGCCGTATTCAGTCGGGGGGTCTCGTCTGAGTGTAACCGTCCTCAGGCGGGTGGGGTTGGAATTAAGAGTGCAGCCCCAGGGCTGGGACGTCAGGCGTCTCAGTGGATCGGCCCGGCTTAAGTCGGGACGATGTTCGGCAGAGCGGTGCATGGTCGATGACCGAGTCGGTCCAGCTGATGGTCGACGGCCCCTTCGGGCTTGTCCCCGGGAGAGGCCTTTAAAAAGGGTACGCTTAGGCCGAGATTCCGACCGGAGAATTAGTATCCGGTACCTCGGGCGGCCGGGGAGCCCCGACCGTTAGTAACCCCGGCGGTCGCCCCGGTCGGTGGCGTTGATGGGTTTGTCGTCCCCGACTGCCTCAGGGTGTCGCGGCGGCGGCCTATCGTCGTTTGCGGTTGGCCTCGAGGGGGCGTGCTCGCTAGGTGTAGAAAATAGCCGTAATCCACCAAGAGAGCGGTGTATCGAAGCTCAGGCCTAGATATCGTTTGGAACGGTCGTTGGGTTCGATTCTTGTTATTTGTGGATTCGCATCCAAGCGTTCGAAATCACATTCAGATTTTACAATTATTGCTAACTTGATTCAACTACTGTTCTGATCTGATCCGTACTGGTTAAAACGGTATTTTTTTTTTTTTACGTTATAGATAAAGGCTAAATCTGTCTTTAGATTGGCGTCTAAAAATAATAAAAAAACGTGTAACTAATCAGAGATGAGTGTAAACAAGGATTTTCGGATGGAGGCCGCCATCTTCTCATTCGTCCTAAAATTATATATTTACACAACTAAAAAAAATATAACCGCACATATTTCAAAAATGAGTATTAAGATTATACTGTTTATATTACTGTATTCATTTTCTGCATAAATAATTTTATTTAAATTTTTTACAATATTTTAAAAATAATTTCTTAGACGAGAATGTAGCATATTTTATTTTTTAGATAGTTTTTTTATCTTCTTCAAGTTTTGCATAGGTGGTTGGATTGGGCGTTTGCATAAGCGATATAAATGCATGTTCTCGCATATCTATACCTATAAACCATCAGAAAAGCGTTCACATTAAAGTTTACCAATCTTATATGGTTTAGTTAATATAATTTGACTGTTGCAAGTATTATTCGTTTTTATGTACAATATTTGATCATGGAGTGAATTATTCAAAAAAACTAACTCATAACATTACTTTTATTTTTCCTCTTATTCAGTTTTTAATTAATTTGAAATCACGTTTAAACAATTTTTAGGGGGACAGTCATAAAGTTAATAATTCCAATTTACATTAATCCACCATCGGGGTATTATGACAAAATTATTGTTTTGTACAATTTTTTACATAATACGAGCCTTAACTAATAATTATGATCTATAGATATGTTGTAAAAAAAAACATTACCAATGGTACAATAATTGTAATTTGCACAAGTATATTTTACAATAGCTACTGAATTGTTATTATTCAACGTACCTAGCAAATTGCTTGTCATTTCATTGACCTGTTCTTTTGTTAACTTTCCCCGATAACGATCTATCATGTATTTTCGTATTGTAGTCTGAGTAGCTATGCCATCACCCCCTTTGAATGTATCATACCATTTAGCCTTAAGATAAATTGTTTTGAGGTGCTGAAATCATAAACATTTTATTTTAAAATACACACGAATATTAATATTATTGAATTCATATTTTTACTAGGTAAACTCGTAACTATTACCGCTTCAGATAATTTGTCAATAACAGCGTTGGTCAATTGGAAATCAACAAAAAAGCTTATGAGGATAACAAATTTAAGATACATCATGATTTTTTTAACTTGTAAATAATTTGACGTGACACTTGTACAATGTTTTTCCGAAGTTTTCAACTTTAATAAAAGATGGAATGGTAATACAAATTGAAAATAATATAATTTTAATAATTATAAATATTGTCACTTGGCTCGCCTTGTCTGCTGATAACTGTTTAGTTTTAATGATCGAACTTAGGAACTATTAAGTATGGAAATATAAAGTATGAAAATATTAAGCATGAGTCGTACACTAGACCATAGACTTGTGTCTGAAAACAGATCATTTGGCGTGTAAACAAAAATCTACTCAAAATGAATTTAGTGTGACCGCACATTCAAGCATACAATTTCATTGACATATCATAGATTAGATAAATAAAAATTAGCTAATCTATTATAATATAATCAGTTATCATTTAAATCTTAAAATTTACGACTGTAATGTCAATCAGAATATAAAACCGAATGAAAAGTGTTTTACTTTTTTTAATGTAATATTGGTTTTGTAATACCAAATATAATATAGTATTATACAGGGTGTTCCAGCATGAAAGGTAAGTAATAGGTAAATGAACATCTGGAGAGCCCCCATATAAGCCTCCCGTTTTTATTTTTTCGATAAGTCAAAAATTGAAGATTTCAACAGTTAAGTAAGAAAATAATGACTTAAAAAAAAAAAAAATTATTCCATGTTATTCAGTGCAAAAAGCTCACCTTAAAAGAGGGGTCACATCATTTTCAGTCTTTTTCAGCCCCTAACTCTTCTCTTATCACTAATATCTTATCATTTTTCTTATCACTAATATCTTATCATTTTTCTTATCTCTTGTTTCTAATTATTTATCTCTAATCTCTTATCATTTATCTCTAATCTCTCATAATTTATCTCTTACCAATTATCTCTATTCTTTTATCTCTTATCAATTATGTCTTAGCATTTATCATTTATTACTTATCATTTATTTCTGGTTTCTTATCATTTTTCTCATATCATTTTTTGAGTTAACGGCCGAAAGGGACTGAAAATGATGTGACCCCTCTTTTAAGGTGAGCTTTTTGCACTGAATAACATGGAATAATTTTTTTTTTTTTTTAAGTCATTATTTTCTTACTTA